GCCCCACTGTTTTAGGCTGTGATGAGAAGCATCATTGGCAGAAGAGTATGGAGAAGAAAACTGCTCATCTTATGGAAGCCAGAAAATAGACAGATGGGCAGGGGCCAGGGACACGATATAGTCCCCTAGAATATGCTGCCCATGAGCCACTTTCTTCAAGCAGGATCTCTCCCCTAAGTTTGCAGCACTTCCATAAATGCCATCAAGTTATTAATCCATCAGGAGATTAATCTGCTGGGGAACTTACAGCCCTCCTGGTCAAACTGCCTCTGAGAAGTCCCACCTCCTAACACTGGGGAAAAAAGCCCTCCACACTCCATCCCATTAAGAGATATTTTAGATCCAAGCCATAACCGTCTCCCTAACTACTAAGTGGAAATGACAACCCACCTGGACCTTGTCTCTTAGGACTCGGCATGTGGTAAGAGCTCAAAGATGAATGGTGTTAGTGCCTGGATCAGTCAGGGTTTTACTAGAGAAACAGATATAAGAAAAGATATGCAAGTGCATAAGAAATTATAAGATTGACTTACAAGGGTCACCCGCAGAATCACATGAGGAAGTGCACAGAGGGCATCTGCATGTTGGAGACCAAAGGGTTCAGTCCAAGGTCTGGAGCGCACTGCAGTGTGCCACGCAAGTCTGTACCAAGAGGCCAGTGGGGCTGCAACAGAAGGCCAACGAGTCTGCACTAGAAGGCTGAAGGCGAATGCTGGAGCTCCTCTGGAGATGGGATCCCATCTGCGCTTCCTCATTTCCCTTTTACACCATCCAGGTGATGAGCCACCATGGGTGTGGAATTGCTGAGTCAATTTAATTAAGCTTCTCAATTTCTCAAGTTGACACAATTCATCAGCTACTATGGTGCTGTCATCCAAGAGACCCCCTCACCCCTCCACAGCAAGAACACAGCCATCTGGGAAGCATATTTTATGTGTCGTCCTGATAGAAGGCAGAGATAGGTATGCAAGGGGGGTAGCTCAGTGGCGGAACACATGCCCAATCCAGCCCTTCATCACAGATCCAGCCTCAGCTCAGAAAGTCTGACCATCCAGAGAGTAAGGGAAGACCAGAAGGCTCAGGGACAGTGCCTGGAGCTCCCAGCCTGGCATGCAGAAATGACACCTGCACCCCAGGCCTTCCCTAGTGTGTCTCAGTTGCGCCCCATAGTGAACTCCATCTGTGGCCCTGATTTTAAAATCCTAAAGCATGAAAAACCTTCAAACACTCAGGTGCAAAAAAAAAAAAAAAAAAAAAACCCTAGGTTCACTGGAGTAGATTTTGTATCACCTGCAAAACCCTGGCCAGCTGAGGTTTGTTCGCCAGACTTGGAGAGGCCCACGGGCAGCCACCACTTCCTGTTAAATGTTTCAAAGTAAATGTTGCACTGTCACAGTCCCAAGCCTGTTGGGCATCTGCAGTGGTGGTGAGCAGTCATTGCTAGGGCTCAGTGATTTGCTCAAATACAGAGCTTTGCTGCTAGAGGAGTTGACTTAATGCTGTGTTACAGTAAGAAAAATGGAAACTCAGAAGGGGGTGGGTAGCCTGCCCAGGATCATTCTATGAGTTAATCACTTCTCTGTGCTTACCCTATTCATTCATTCATTCATTCATTCATTCATTCATTCATTCATTCACTAACACAACAATTATTTTTTCCTCTGCTTTTTTGAAGAGTGAAGGAAGACATAGGAGTTGAACCTAGAGACTTCACACTGAGCTAAATCTCATGCCTGTTATTTTCATTTCAAGATATGGTGTCTCCAAGTTGTTAAATTGCCCAGGCTGGGCTCACACTTATGCTTTCCTGCCTCAGCCTCCCAGAGTGCTAAAATTAAAGGTGTGTACCACCATGGCTGGCTTACATGCAAAACAGGTACCAGGCACCCACTAGGTGGCAGGAACTGTGCTTGATGCTAGGGACAAAATGCTGACACAGTCAGTCTGTAAACAAATAAGCAAATGATGGGTCTTGACAGAGGGGTCAGGAGAAGGTTGCCTAGAGGAGGGACAAAGAAGCTGCTGCTTAATGATGTGAAAGAGAGTATTACGTTATGGAAAGAACCAAAGAAGGGTATTTCCAGCCCCAGGAACTGCAGAAACACCAACGCTTGCACAATCCAGAGCTGCCTCAGGCAGCTGCGGTGAGCATGGCCAGTGACACTGGGAGGGGACCCAGTGACATTGAGGAAGGCAGGGGAGGCCTTGGTAAGGAGTCTGAATTTGCTCTGATTGCAGCAGGAAGCCACCAAAGGCCTTGGACAAAAGAGAGGTGCTCTGGTTCTGAATTCTAGAAGAGGTACCCAGACTCCAAGATGCCAGAGCTTCCCCTCTCCAACTCCCCAGGGCTCCTCAGTGACCCCCTCATCACCATCTGGTCTCAGCACTACAATGAGGTGTGTCCCCTGTTGTTCCCCCCCCCCATGACAGTGGAACCTTGTGTGCATGTTAAGGCCTTGATGTGCCCCCACCCTGCTCCTAATTTATATGCTGAACTCCTAACCCCAATGTGATGGCACAAAGAGCCAGGGGCTTTGGGAGGTGATTAGGTAGTGAGGGTACCCTCAGGAACAGGCTCAGTCAGTGCCTTATAAGAGAGATGTTGTGATCCATCTCGCCCTTTCTGCCATGGAGTTGTAAGAGAGCCACTCTCAAAACAGGAATGGGCCTTCCCCAGGTGCTGAATCTGCCTGTCCCGTCTTGGGACCTCCTAGCCTCCCTAACTGTGAGAAGCTTGCCAGGCCATGGTCCTATTATGGCAGAGTATTAACAGACCAAGATGTTGCCCTTGCCCATTCTCTACCACTAGGGCTCCAGAGGAAAGGCACACCCAGAAGAAACCCAGGCACGAGGCCTGCCCGTCAGTCCCATCTAGATGGGTACTTCAGGCCAGACATCCTCCAGTTCTGGGGATTTCCAAAGAAAGTCTGTCTCCTGGCCCCGGAAGAGGAAGTGGTAGTTGACATGCACCAAGGCTGAGCAGGACAACAGGAAAGTGGGCCAGGCCCAAGCCAGGCAGCAGAGGACAGGGGCAGCCTAGACTCATGCTGTGTGAGCACCCACCTCCAGGTCACCTCCTGCCCCTGTGGGTCGGTGACAAAGGAGACAGGCAGCAGCACCCGGGGCTCCCCAGCCCGCGGTAGAGGACACCATGCACAACACTTCCCTGAGGCTCTCTCCCTCAAAACAAAAACAGGCCTCACATATGCAGCCCTCCTTGTGACAGCCATGGTATAGTGGTGTGAGGAGATTCAGTGATCATTGAAATAAAGAAAGTCACAAGTAAACAGGCGCATTAGAGAACCCCGCACAAGAAAGGCAAACTAAAGATAGGAAAACAACAGTCCATGCAGACAGCACAGCATTGTTCTAAACCCTTTGTACATCTTGACTCACCTTAGGCCTCCCAATGGCCTTGGAGGTGGCTGCCAAATGCAGGAGAAAGCTCCTTGACCTGGCTATGAAACAAAAGACTGAGCCAGCCAGATAGCTCAGTGGACTAAAGCGCCTGCTTAAGCAGAGCTCAGTGGCTAGGGTTCAATACCCAGTGTGTCGTGCAGGCCCTGCTCCCAGGGTATGCTGAGATGGAGATTGAGACTGGAGATTCAGCTTGGGAGGCTGAAAAAGGGAGGATCACTACGAGTCTGATCTGTGTAGTGGGGCCCTGTAGACCCTGTCCTAAATATATTTTAGAAAGAAAGAAAGAAAGAAAGAAAGAAAGAAAGAAAGAAAGAAAGAAAGAAAGAAAGAAAGAAAGAACTATGTGGCTGAGCAACTTAGAGTTGGCAGTTTCTATTTATCCTAAGAACCTACTGAGAGAGAACAAAGGCAAAGCACAGAACAGAGCCTGAGAAGCAACAGGCCCATGAAGCACACCCACAAACCAATGAAAACTAATTCAGCAAGGAGATGAGCACGGGACTTGAACAGACACTTCACTGAAGAAAAAATAAAGATGGGAAATAAGCCCATGAGCAGGTGCCCGACATCACTAGCCTTTAGGGAAATGACGAAGTACCACAGCACACCGACTACAACGTCTACAGCACCAAACCCTGACAACGCCAAAGGTGAGAGAGAAGGTGGAGCACCCAGAGCTCTCATGAGCTGCTGCTGGGGATGCAGAATGTCACAGACATGCTGGAAAAATGGCATGGCTTGATCTAGCACAGTTGAGACCATTCCAACCTGGAGGCCCAGTAATTCCACCTGGGAAAATCATATAGAACCAGGTGGGTATGGTAGCACACATCTATAATCCCAGCACTGTAGGAGGCTGAGACAGGAGGAACACAAGTTAGAGCCCAACTTGAGCAACTTACTGAACTAGTGAGACCCTCTCACCCCATGGCCTTCCACACTAGGCACCAGCTATGCGTTCCACCAGCTCTGTGTTCCAAGCCTCAGTTTCCTATTGAGCCCTAGCTTGTAGGGCACAGTAATAGGCCATCGCATGTAGGGATGTACTCCCCAAATTCATTGCTGAAAGTTTGGTCCCAAACCCCATAGCATTGGGGCCTAGTGCTTAGGTCATGAGGGTGGGCAGAGGCTTCGCAAATGGGTGAGTGCCATCACCATGGAGAGGGTGGCTGCCAAGTTGCCAGGTTCCCTCTTGCCCTTCCACTTGCTCCCAGGGAAGGTCCTTCCCCAAAGACCACCACAGTGTCCCTGGACTTCTTAGCCTCCAGAGCTGAGAGTCAACTAAACTTTTTTTTCTTTATTTTGTGGTCTTCTGTCACACCAACAGCAAAGGCCTGAAAGAGAGCTCCGGGAACCACTGTCTGAACAGCAGGATGGTCCAGGTCTCCGGGGGCAGTGAGGTTGCTGGGAAGTAAGGGTTCCCCAGGGAGCAGGGAGAGCCAGCCCTCACCGCCTGCTCCACCCTGCTGGCTGCTGAAGAAAACCCTGGTTGGTTGCTTGAACACCACCTTTCAGCAGCCAATGGGCTGGGTGATCAGGAGCGGGTCACACAGCCCATTTCCTGTTTTCAAACAGGGAACTTAGCAAAGTAGCAGCCACTCTACAGCTTGCTGGAGCTTGGAACAGAGAGACAAAGGGGACATGTGACCATCTCCCGGACCCTCAGCACACACAGGGACTGAAGACCTCAGGTCAGTGTTAGATCCCAAATCAGCTGGCCTCCACTCAATGTGGCCTCTGTCCCCATCTTCTGTGACTCTCTCTCTGTACCTATTAGGTGCTGGGTGGGACAGAGGAGGGAAGATGACAGCCTCTGGGTAGGGGTCCTATGTTTAGTACATTGGGGTACAGCAGGCAGGGAACCCCCTTCCCCTACATTTGTCACTTCAATTCCTTCCAAAATGCTGGACACTTGAACAACCTATCTTGGTCCTGGGAAATAAGTAACTAGGCCCGTGTTTCTCAAAAAGTGAGATCAGCACTCCTACATCAACCTAGCAGGGACCTCAGGGGGACCTGTACAAAATGCAGGCTCCAGGGCCCACCCCAGACCTGCTACCTGGGACTCTGGGCCTGCAGTGCAGGGAAATCCGATTTTTGGGCAAGTATCCAGAAATGGGTGCTTTGGACCCTCCTCCAAAGGGAGGGTCTGTTGCAGGCCCACTGGGGAGCCTCTGCGTTGAGGGCTGCTCAGGCGAGCACCCAGGTTGTCCCGTAATACCTGCCCCGGCCCAGCTGTGCATCCAATAGCCAAAGCCCTTCTGTCTCCCCACAGGCGGAGGGGGGCGCTGTATTTCAATCCCCTAGAGGCTCCACCCAGATGAGACACCCTCTGCAGCCCCTTGAAGGGGGAAGTGAGGGCCAGGGACCCTGGCAGAAAAGGAGGAGAACAACTGTCTCGCATGAGGAGCTGAAGGGTCCAGAGGACTGGGAAGCCCGTTGTTATCTGGGCCAAGGGAGGCCCCCAGCCAACAGCACCAACATTTGCAGTGCTTTGTTGTTGCCCAGGAATGTTTGCTGCCAAGGCCACGGGGTGGGGGAGGGAGGGCAGGGGAGAAGCCACTGAACCCCTGCTTGGCTGTCTCCCAAGAACATTTAGAGTAACAAGACAGCCGTCCCATTTCACAGATGGGAAACCTGAAGCCTAGAGGTGGATAGGAAGCTGCTCACAGTCCCATGGATGCAGCAACGCATGATTCTTTCCCTTCCACTCCTCTTTCAGTGGGCAGTTCCCAGCCAGCCCCTAAGAGAAAACATAAGGGAGTTGGCACTGCCTGCCGAATTTGATTTTTATTCTAAGCTCTGGTCTTATGATCAGCTTTCCTAGGTCTTTACTGGAATATTCTGCCATGCTGTCATTTCTGGAAACTTAAAGCATCTCTGGGAAAGCAGAGCCCTGCTTCTGCCCTGGCACCAGCTTCGGGTCAGGGAAGCAGAGCTGGACGGGCTGGGACCGTGGATGCTAGTGTCACTCGCCATCACCTACAGCACAGATGAGCGGACTGAGGGGGCACAGAGGAGTGCCCACAGGAAACGTGGGGCCTCCATGACAGCCAAAATCCCGTGAGATAAAAAAGCATGTGGGCCACCTGCTGACTTGCTTAGCCAAAAATGAGGCACCCAGCCTTAGCTATCAATCGTGTCACCAGCAAGTCAGGGCTTGTGGCACTACCTTGCCTGTGAAGAAATAGAGACCTTGCTTAAGTGAGTCAGGTGGAAGGCCATGGCTTCTGGCCCCTGAGACACAAAAAAGGTGTGCCAGCTATACATGCTCATGTGTGTGCAGTCCTGGCCCAGTGAGGCCCCCACTCTGTGCCTCTTTCTACCCATCTATAGCAGGAGAGGTGGATGGGAGGCCCCAGGAGTACCCACTGCGTAACTGTCCAGAAGCCAGCTGGAGAACACTCAGGGTTCCTTTGGCCTGGGGTAGCCAGAGCTGCCACTGAGGCGCAGGCTGTGGGCCCTGATAGCTGCCCCTTCCTTAGTCTGATGCACTGGGAAAGGCTCTTGTCTCAGGCAGAGACATAAGAGACAACACTGCAGCAGCAGTGACCCCATTTTCCTCAAGGACATCATCAGCCAGAGGCTCAGCCTGGAACCTGGGAGCTAAGAGTCCAGAGTTCACACGGGACCTGCACACAGCTCTCCTGAGTCCAGACAAGCAGTGGGAGGTCACTGGGCCTCCTTGTCCCAAATCTCTGCTCCTACACAGAACCCCAGCTACTTGCTCAAGTGTGTTTCCACTGTCCCTTCTTATAACCCAAGGGTAGCTGTAATTCTATTCTGGCTTATACCTCAGAGCAGAGTCCCTTATTTCACAAGTACTTGTCACAGTATCCAGATCCTAATACCAGGGACAGCAATATGGTACCTGGTGTGGGGGACTGCGTTGATGCCCTTCAGGACTGCTGCCCTAATATGCACAGCAGCCTCCACAGGCCAGTTCTGCTACTGTGCCCATTTTCTAGGGAGAAGCTGACAAATATGCCAGCCCCTACGTCATCTTGCCCACTTGCCAGGGTCACTGGACCCCTGCTGCCCGTCTTATCAACTTGCCCCCATGCAAGAGGGGTTTTGGCATCAAGTCCTCCTGGGTTTGCATCCTGGCAACACATACCAGGACTTGCTCTTGGGGTGCTCCAGCACTCAGTCCCTTTATCGCAAAGGAGAGATAGAAACCATCTTCCACCGCAGACGAGCATGTCGGGCTTGAAGCACAAGCATTTGAGAGGAATTCCACTTTGGGATCCCCGATCTGCATGTACTCTCGGGCTAGACCTCAGTTCCCTCATCTGTTACTTGTGAGGAGTGCTAAAGTTTTGTGGTCATCAAATTAGGTAGGGGGTATGAAGAAGTAGGTAATATGATGAAGGAACAGTAAGTTGTCAGTGTTTGCTTAAAAATAAATTTGACACAGACAGTAAGATAAAATTAAATACTGGGGGCCAGAGAGAGCTCGGTGGTCTAAGTGCCTACCTGGCGAGCACAAGGACCTGGGTTCAATCCCTGGTACCACATGCCATGCAGGCTCCATGCTGTGCTGACCATTGAAACCTGGCGTGGTGGCACACGCCTATAATCCCAGTGCTGGGGAGGCTGATGCAAGAGGATCACTATGAGTCTGAGCCCCATAGCAAGACCCTGTACCAAATAAACAAGTAAATAAATAAATAAACAATTTTTTAAAAAAAACCCTAAATACTGGGCCATTTATCTGGCCAAGTCAGCATCTTTCTCCCAGGTGTTCACTAATGCTATTGACATCACCGACGTGATCTTATTTAGCGACTCGACAGCACTGGCATCGTGACAGGATGACAGGGGTCTGCACCGCCTTGGCACCATCTGCCCAGCAGAGGGTTTGACCCAGCAGGGTGCCCCTGCATCCCTCAGCCCACCAGCGGAGGGTGCAGCGTGGCTCCTACAGGGACTGCAGCACCCCACACAAGCAGGCACTCACTGCTCTTCCCTGTGCTCCTGGCAGACCAGGGTCATGGCAAGTGCTGAGCGCCCTGGGTGCCCTGCATGGGTGGAACCCATGACCCAGAGCACGGCCAGGACTGAGCACGATGCACCAGCCGCGAGCCAAGACCTCCCACATCCAGGACCTGAAGGACACCAAGGTAGGCTTGGGGCTTGGGACCTGGGGAAGGGACAGAGGTACACAGATGTGGGAGGTGTGAACAGGGCTTGCTTGAATAGTGGCACCATGTCAGTGGGACCCTGGGTCAGCCCAAAGCAGATCTGAGCTGGGAGATGACACCAGGAGGCAGGCAGGGAATAGGGACACCAGGGGAAAAGGGCAGGAGGCTGCTATGGGGGATCAGTGATTAGGTGACCAGGGCAGGCAACCAGGGCTCAGTCTCTGAGATGGCCTTCTGGAAGGTGCTGGGACACCTCTCGGAGTCGTCACATCTGAGAGAAGTTATTATCCACCAGCCCCATGCGTCAGCTGAGGGAGGCCCCTAAGCGAGCAGCTGTACCCCAGAAGCTCGCAGAGCCAAAGTCCTGGCTCCTTCTCTTAGAAAGCCAGCAGCACCATCCAGGAGAGTGGGTGCCAAGGGATTCTGGCCCAGAACTGGCAACACCTACGATAGTGCCACCTCCTTTTACTATCACCCTAGAGGGGCTCGCTGACCAACTGCTGTGTCCCCCATAAGCAAACTGGAGCAAATCAAACCTCAAGCTCTGGGTAAGCACCAGTGAAAAAGTTAGAAATGCAAAACAAATGCTAAAAGAACAAGATGTGAGGCTCCTGATCAAACACCAAGGGCTGAGTGGAATGATAAATGGGCTGTGCAGACACAGGCTTCTGAGGCTCAGTAAGTGCACAGGTATGATACAAATTAGGGAATGACTCTAAGCTTCCTCAGGACTCTCAGGGCCACAGGGCTCAAATGAGACTTAAGAAACACTGTGTTGGAGGATAGGAGGGTAGGATTCGAGGCAGAGGAGCAGCATGCACTGGGGAAGGCCCAGAGAGGCCGGCCAGGCTGAGAGCAGAACAAGACGTCTTTAGTTGGGCTCATTGCACTCTCCTGTGCTCCAGAGCTCCCCACCACAAGCACGGAGTCCGTGCTACAACGTGCCCAGAAATGGACGAGCCTGGTCTCTGCTTGTCAGGAACATGGCATTTCACAACAGTGTCTATAGGCCAGAAGTAAATGATGTAATTAACAGAGCTGCGTTTCCCAGCCCAGATGCTGGCCGGGGTAATGACTTGGCAGTGGGAGACTGAGCCAGGCAGGGCTTGGGAGGGACGTGGGATACCGAGCGCTCCCCTCGAGTTCTGCTGTTCCATCTGATGCCCCAGCCATCTCCTCGAGCCCTTGCCTCTAATACACGTGACCCAGCCACGGCAATGCCTAAAGGTGCTGTCCTTCCAGATGGTCCCAGCAGCCTCAGCTCCAACTCCAACATGACCACACGGGAGCTGCAGGAGTACTGGCGGAGCGAGAAGGGCCGCTGGAAGCCCATCAAGCTGCTCTTTGAGATCGTCTCAGCCCGCATTGAGCAGAGAAGGATCTCCAAATTTGTGGTGAGCCAGGAGGGGAAGTGAGGGAACCCCTTTCACTGCCTCCTCCCAGCGCTTGGCAAGTCCTGGGGAGCCTCTGCTATCCCAACTGTATAATGGGTGGAAGACACTCTGTCACTGGTAGCATTCTTCCAGAGGCCATGACTGAAGAGCTAAGCTTCATGCTCAGCCCTGTGGTCATCCTATGACAACTAGAAACTTATTAGCCAACAGTTCCAGACCCTAAAATGTCAGCAGGCCAGTTTAATCCTGTTATGAGGCATTAGTCACTTGTGTGCCTTTTCTTCCGATTTCATCACATCCTTGCTCACTTCGTTAATTGTATGTTTAAACTGGCTCGCTTTTTTTTTTTCTTTCAGAACTGGGGATTGAACTCAGGTTCTTGCACTTGCCAGGGAAGTGCTTATTCCACTGAGCCATCTCCCCAGCCCCAAACTGGCTCACTTTTAAAAACATTAAATATATTTAAATGAAAGACTAGTGCAGGGTGATGGTGGCATATGCCTGTAATCCCAGCACTCTGGGATCCTGAGGCAGGAGGATCACAAGTTTGAGCCCAGTCTGGGCAATTTAACAACTTACTAAGACCCTGTCTCAAAATAAAAATTAAAAGTCTTGGGTTCAATCACCAATGCTGATAAGAAGGAAGGAAGGAGAGAGAGAGAGAGACAGAGACAGACAGGGAGAGAGAGAGAGAGAGAGAGAGAGAGAGAGAGAG